AAAAACACAACATCATACAGATATTATTTTTATTTATTCTATAAATTATCGTGTTAATTAGCAACTTAAAGATGATTTAATGTACTTAGTTGCTAATAGTTATAAGGTGTATACCCGAGTAGAATCTCAGTGGGAGCATTATATCTCCTCTGGTTTATTTTACATTACTACATGTGAAAAGTCATTTCAGGCATAGTCAAGAAAATAGATAAACACAGTGACAGTTTTACATGAAGGAAGTTTGCGGAAGTTGATAATTTTCTTGTCGTGACCTTTAGCGTGTCGGGCGACAGTATTTAGTATACCTTCTGGAGGATCAGCAGTACGAACAGGCTGCTCAGCTCTGTGTGAAGATCCTCCGCAAAGACAAGGAGGCCTGGGAGGAAATCGTGTACAAGTTCCACAAGATACATCAGCTCAAGGTCAGTGGTAGTGTCAAGGTCAAGGTTAGTGATAGTCACAAGGTCAAGGTTAATGGTACTGGAAAGAACAAGGTTAATGTTAATCAGAGCTCAAGAAGAGTGATAATCAGTAAAAAGGCAGACCTAAAATAATAGAAAGGAATCATTTTAATATAAAACTTCGAGGTTATCATTTGGCAAATTCTATATCCTACCCCTTATCATCCTGGAAACTCCATACAATCTGCAGGGCCTGACACCAATGTGCACCATTAGCAGTATCACACATGCAAACTACTCCTATCACAAAGAAGGATATGATAAAAAAAAATCCTGTTTACAGGCGATTGCTCCATATCTACCCCGTGGAGACCCCCAGCTTGGCCAGGCAATTTATGAGATGGTACTTAATGAGTTCCTCGTCACAGATGAAGAGGTGAGTTGTATTGTAATATTGATGTAAACAGAGAAAGAAATGACGTCTCAGAGAATTGTATCTAGGTTTTTGAAACTGAAATGTCATCAGAGACAACATCAGAGACAACATTTTTTACACATGTTGGGCTATTGAATAGATATGATAAGTAAAGTAAATCTTCATTGCTACAGTTCTACCCACAATGCCACTCACAACAGTGTTATAATGATTTTATTGGTAACATTGTAGGAGTTTAACTTTGTGTAGTACAGTTTTACTGTTAAGATTAAGTGATATGAAATTCAGTAGAAAACCCACCCAGTCCTTGATGTATAAGACAAGTACAAAACCTTCTTCCTTGACTGTGTGTACACTTGTCTGTGTGTACACTTGTCTATATGTTCATTTGACTGTGTGTACACTTGTCTGAGGGTACACTTGTCTGTGGGTACACTTGACTGTGTGTACACTTGACTGTTGGTACTTTGGAAACACTTGACTGTTGGTACTGTGGGTACACTTGACTGTTGGTAATGTGGATACACTTGACTGTTGGATAAGACAAGTACAAAACCTTCTTCCTTGACTGTGTGTACACTTGTCTGTGTGTTCATTTGTCTGTGGGTGCACTTGTCTATATGTTCATTTGACTGTCTGTACACTTGTCTGAGGGTACACTTGTCTATGGGTACACTTGACTGTGTACATTTGACTGTGTATACATCTGACTGTAGGTACACTTGACTGTGTGTACACTTGACTGGGTACACTTGTCTATATGTTCATTTGACTGTGTGTACACTTGTCTGAGGGTACACTTGTCTGTGGGTACACTTGACTGTGTACATTTGACTGTGTATACATTTGACTGTAGGTACACTTGACTGTGTGTACACTTGACTGTTGGTACTTTGGAAACACTTGACTGTTGGTACTGTGGGTACACTTGACTGTTGGTACTGTGGGTACACTTGACTGTGGGTACACTTGACTGTTGATACTGTGGGTACACTTGACTGTTGATACTGTGGGTACACTTGACTGTTGGTACTGTGGGTACACTTGACTGTTGGTACTTTGGATACACTTGACTGTTCATACTGTGGGTACACTTGACTGTTAGTACTTTGGATACACTTGACTGTTGATATTGTGGGTACACTTGACTGTTGGTACTGTGTGTACACTTGACTGTTGGTACTGTAGATACACTTGACTGTTGGTACTGTGGGTACACTTGACTGTTGGTACTTTGGGTACACCTGACTGTTGGTACTGTGGATACACTTGACTGTGGGTGGACTTGACTGTGTGTACATTTGACTGTAGATACACTCGACTGTGTGTACTTTGGGTACACTTGACTGTGTACTTTGAGTACATTTGACTGTGTGTACTTTGGGTACATTTGACTGTGTACTTTGGGTACATTTGACTGTGTACTTTGGGTACACTTGACTGTGGATACACTTGACTGTGGATACACTTGACTGTGTGTACACTTTACTGTGTACATTTGACTGTGTGTACTTTGGGTACACTTGACTATGTGTACTTTGGGTACATTTGACTGTGTACTTTGGGTACACTTGACTGTGTGTACACTTTACTGCATACACTTGACTGTGCGTACATTTGACTGTGAGTACACTTGACTGTGTGTACTTTGGGTACATTTGACTGTGTGTACTTTGGGTACACTTGAATGTGTGTACTTTTGGTTCATTTGACTGTGTGTACTTTGGGTACATTTGACTGTGTGTAATTTGGGTACACTTGACTGTGTGTACATTTGACTATGAGTACACTTGACTGTGGATACACTTGACTGTGTGTACTTTGGGTAAACTTGACTGTGTGTACTTTGGGTACACTTGACTGTGTGTACTTTGGGTACATTTGACTGTGTATACTTTTGGTTCATTTGACTGTGTGTACTTTGGGTACATTTGACTGTGTGTACTTTGGGTACACTTGACTGTATACATTTGACTGTGGGTACACTTGACTATTGGTACTTGACTGTGTGTACTTTAGGTACTCTTGACTTTGTGTACTTTGGGTACACTTGACTGTATACATTTGACTGGGTACACTTGACTGTATACATTTGACTGTGAATACACTTGAATGTAGGTACACTTGACTGTAGGTACACTTGACTGTGTGTACTTTGGGTACACTTGAATGTGTGTACTTTGGGTACATTTGACTGTGTGTACTTTGAGTACACTTGACTGTTTCCATTTGACTGTGGATACACTTGACTGTGTGTACACTTGACTGTGTGTACACTTGACTGTGGATACACTTGACTACAGGTACTGTGGTAGCACTTGACTGTGGGTACAATTGACTGTGTGTACTGTGGTAACACTTGACTGTAGGTACACTTGACTGTGTGTACATTTGACTGTGGATACACTTGACTGTGGATACACTTGACTATTGGTACTGTGGATACACTTGACTGTAGGTACACTTGACTGGGTACACTTGACTGTGTGTACTTTGGGTACACTTGACTGTATGTACACTTGACTGTGGATACACTTGACTGTGAATACACTTGACTGTTGGTGATGTGGATACATTTGACTGTAGGTACACTTGACTGGATACACTTGACTGTTGGTACTGTGGGTACACTTGACTGTTGGTACCTTGGGTACACTTGACTGTTGGTACTTTGGATACACTTGACTTTGGGTACACTTGACTGTGGGGACACTTGACTGTTGGTACTGTGGATACACTTGACTTTTGGTACTTTGGATACACTTGACTGTTGGTACTTTGGGTACACTTGACTGTTGATACTTTGGATACACTTGACTGTTGGTACTGTGGGTACACTTGACTGTTGGTAATGTGGATACACTTGACTGTTGGTACTGTAGGTACACTTGACTGTTGGTACACTTGACTGTTGGTACTGTGGGTACACTTGACTTTGGGTACACTTGACTGTTGGTACTGTGAATACACTTGACTGTTGGTACACTTGACTGTTGGTACTGTGGGTACACTTGACTTTGGGTACACTTGACTGTTGGTACTGTGGATACACTTGACTGTTGGTAC